TTTAATTTTGCCATTAAGCTAATTGATAATTTGATATTTGAATTATTTTCAAATAATGAAATTGACTGTCTCATTTTTATAGTTATCTCTGGGAAACGCATGTTTTAAGAAAATGGATCACATCACACGCATCAAGGAATCAGATTGTTAAAGCAATCTTCTATCATCAATTGTGTCATATCCTATGTGCTTGATTCCGAGTTTCTAGCATTAAATTTTGTTTAACGTTAATGTTAACATTTGTATTAGCGTTATTGTTTTGCAAGTACGACATCACGAGGTGTCCAGGTGCCAAAACATTACTGCATGAAACAGGAAAATCAAAGACCATATTTTTTATTCAAACTTATCGTTATGAAAAAGGGTATTACATGTGCTATATATTACAAATTGATGGTGAATTCTTACATTATTTATTTGACTATTTCTCTTAATGTACTTTTGTGCTATGATTAAGAAGACTGAGATGACTAATAATTTTAACTCAACAAGTTTTTTAATGACATTGTATAGTTTTTATCCACTAATATCGAAGAATCTTTCGTTGGTGAAATGTTCGAAATTGACATTTTCTTATTAACGGAAGGTATTACTAATTGATCGGTGTTAAGAACGGTTGAACGATGTGAAGCGGAGGAGTTGACCGTTTCAACGTTAGAATTGTGATGATAATGAGAAGATCGTAATTTCGGTTGAGATTTAAACGAGGCAATATCGGTATTGTTTGGAATCGGGCCATTAGAATTTCGTTCAAAGTTAATGGATTGTGAATTATAATTATCATAAGTGTGATTATTGATTTTGTTAAAGTCACCATTACAATTACAATTAGTATTATCATGGGAATCCAATTTCGTCCTCTTCACAAATCTCCCGTCATCTTCATTATCGTTATTGCGGCTGTTATTCTCAAGTTTTCGCTTTTCCGCGAGTAAACCTTGTAAATAACAGATATAATCGATTGCGCCTTGAAGGATAGCCATCTTATGAATTTGAGGTTGTTCTGCACAACTTGGAACTAACTTTTGAAGCTGTACTATTTTATCATTTATTCTTTCGCGACGACGTCTTTCAATAGCGGAATGTGCAATTTTACGCGCCAACTCTCGTTTTTCAGCTAACGAAAGAGGTTCATCAGTGGGAACTAATTGATTATGATGAGGACGTGGCGGTATTGTTTGAATAATTGATGTGTGATGATACATGATTGGCTTTGCGCTAATATTTGATGAACTAACAGAGAAATTATATTCAGATGCGTAAATCTCGGAAGATTGACCATTAGAAAAGTTTGCCATATGTGATGATGCATCAAAGTGCAATTGTTCATAATTTGTGTTTAATTCCTTTATTGCCACTGTCGACTGTAGTGATGGTGGTTGCTGTTGATTATCCTGATGCATTCCATTGGGTGGCGTTGGTGGTAACCAGAAATTTGATTTAAACTGTGGTGCTTGAAAAGAAAGTTCCGTCGTTGATATTTGTTGGGGTGAAATTGGCAATTTGAATACCGAACTTCCGGAAATCCCTCCCGGCGAAACTGGCGGTGTCATTGTATCGTTTTGACTCGCTTGTATTGTCGTTGAGGGTCGGATGGTAGAAGAGTTTTTACCGTTTTGCATATCTTATGTTACAAACAATTATAATTTCGAACGAATGAATTTTAGGAAGAAGAATTTAAAGATAATTCATAAAAAATTCGTAGATAATATTGTTTAATGAAGGATCGCAAACAGATAACGGAAAAAGAAAATAAATAATAAACAATCCAGAATTTATACCCACTGCAGCACAAAAATCAATGATTGGTGGGAAAACAAGATCAGAATGACGCAAGAAACAGCGTAATTTGAGCCATTTATGACACCACGTGGATAGCATTAAAATCTCAGATTATGCAGGGCACCGCTTCACAAAATGCAAGGGACGATAATTTTGATATATAACTTTAGCTTTTACTGAATTAGAAGTGGCGTGATATGCGAGTCCAAATGCCATTGGTGATACATTCTTTTAATTACATAATTGACCAATCCAATTCAGAAAAAATGGCATGTTTTAACATTATTCGTGAACATCCCTCGCATATTATCCCGCCTTTTAGATTGAAAATCGCAAACCTAAAGATATCAAGATCGTGTGTTAATTCATTTTTATTTCATATTGTCTTATTTTGGAAAATCAGCCAAGGGGGGTAACGATAAAATGAGACAGTCAATTTCATTATTTGAAAATAATTCAAATATCAAATTATCAATTAGCTTAATGGCAAAATTAAA